GCAAGTCACAGCATCCACCATAACTAGAGGTGCCAGATTAAATGTCAGATGCCCAGTGAAGTTTGAATTTCAAATACACAGCTATGTTTCTAGTATAAGTATGGCTCAGCTATTGCATGGGACATACTTATAATAAAGAATTATTCATTGTTTATCTGAAATTTAAATTTAACTGGGCATCCTATGTTTTGTGAAATCTGGCAACCCTACCCACATCACTGCACATAGCTGATTTCCAGGTTTTTCTTCTTGAGGTCATGGGAGAGGGTAGGAGAGAAAGCCAACTCTCACCCCCCACGGCCATCAGATCATCCCGTCATCCTTCTGCTCCGTGTATAATGTCTGATACAAGCAGCATGAGAGGCTCTGTGACAGGGGTTCCCAACAACAGAATTTGGGCCCAAGTTCGAGAAGATGGAGCGAAGTCAGATGCTGGGTTAAGGAGGGTGGTATGGTCATGGGATATCTGGATGAATTTTACCTGGCACTCCCTGTATCACTCAGGGTGACTCTCTTTAAAGCTCGTATACATCAAGGTCTGAGCCACAGGCCTTGTTCTCAACGTGGTTTACTACTAAGGGAGGAAAAAGAACAAAATAGTGTGAGTGAGTATAGGCTGAGCCCCCAAGAAAGCCAGCTGCGGTTCTGAGCAGGAAGACTGGGGAGAGGGAGGTAGAAGCAGCATGGGGTAAGTTGGCTTTGCGTGACACAGGTGAGAGACGAAAGGGAGAAGGGCTGAGCACATCAGGCATGAAGACTACCTGGTGGAATCGTGGCGATAATAGCAGCTGACACGTACAAGGCCCTTATCATGGGCCAGGCTCTCTTCTAAGAACTGTGCACACCTTAGCAACTTTCATCAGCACTGCGAAGGACATTTATGACTACCCAGGTAGAGAGAAGTTCATCGCTCAAGGCTACCCAGCTTGTAAGCGGAAATAATACCAGAAAGGCAGGCTTGGCTCCGATGGAGGAGAGCCTTGAATATCCAGGCTTGAGATTTAAATTCATGGCACAAACATGCCTTGGGTGTCACCCATGTGTGATAAGCCACTGCCTCAGACAGTCTGGCAGGATGTGGCCAAAGCCCTAAAAAGGACCTTGCCCCAGAAAGTCTACATGAAAAACCTTCCTCTTCATAATTAAAGACTCTTTAGCTTTGAATACTGAGGAGGTATTCAGCTATAAAGATTTCATTACAATGTGACTTATAATTGCAGAATTTGGAAACTATAGAAACATCCAATCATAACTGATTGGCTAAATAAATGATAGTTTAACCATACATTTAAGTCATGGTGCAGAAGAATATAGAAAATATTTATTGATATGGAAATATGCCAATGACAGACATGTTATGGAGTGAAAAATGCAGAGTGCAAAATTGTGTATACTATATGGTCCTGTGTGTGTGTGTGTGTGTGTGTATTTTAACCTAGAAGAGTACTGCAAAGTGTTAGTAGTGGTTACCTTAATTTTAGGTAATGCTACTATAGACAACTTTTTTTATTTTGCTTCAATTCCGTAAATACTGAGTGACTACCATGTGCCAACCACTGTGCCAGGTGCCAGTCATTATACACAATGGTGAATAAAAGCATATTTACTCTCTGCCTCGTGGATGAATAAGTGGGCAATTAAATAATTACTGTATGGTTACAAATGAAAGTATGCTGTAAAATAATGGAGAAAGTTCTGTGATGGAGATGGAGAGGTTTAGGGGAGGGCACATGTGGATCTAACCGTCAGGGAAGACCTCTGACATTTTAGTCAAGACCTGAAGGCTGGAAAGGAGACAACCTTAGGATGAGAGGGCTGTGGAGGGGCTGTGCCCAGCACAGGGGACACCATATGCAAAGGCCCTGAGCATCAGAGAGCAAGCACTTTAGGGGAGCTAACAGGTCAGTGTGGAGTGACCACAGGACATTTATGTTTTCAGACCTGGGCACTGTTGACATGACATGAAGGGCTCCTGCTCAGGGAACTATTATTCTTTCTGAGGCAGATCCTTTCTAAAGTACTGCCTTACACACACACACACACACACACACACACACACACACACACACACACACACACACACACACACACGTCTTGGGTTAACAGCTAGCATTTATCAAAATGCCTGAGGGCTGGCTGAGTGGCTCAGTTGATTAAGAGCTTGCTCAAGAGTGCAAGCTCTGAGCAACCAGGTTGCTGGTTCGATTCCCACATGGGCCCGAGCTGAGCTGCCCCTGAGCTGCCAACAGGTGGCAGGATGGCTCAGCTAAACCAAACAAACAAAACAAAATGCCTTAAAAATCTGTGTGTGTGTGTGTGTGTGTGTGTGTGTGTGTGTGTGTTTGTGTTTAAATCAAGTCACTACTACCCACTTCCTAGGACAAGTCATAGAGTACAGTAGAGGCTCACTCTCATAGGTTTTAGGAAATGTGGTTGATAAAGTGAAATAATCGTTAAGAAAGGTGTATATTACTCCTTTGACCCGTCTATGCAATTTGGGGAGTTTCTGTACAACCAAATTCTTTGCTAATGGTAAGAGGAACACTTTTCTTTATCAAAACAAGAAAAAAACAAAAAGCCTACAATCTTACCTAATAATGCAAATAGACTGGAACATTTTCTTTGGGGTAATTGCCAATTTCCTTCATTTTGACAGCATGATTATAGTCTCAACATGTTCTGGGGTGCATGAGAATAAAACAGGATCCTTTTTCCAAAACCTCCCATTTCAAGCCCCTCCACACAAACTGTCACCTTAGGTGAGGGTCCACATAGAATTTTCAAGTATTGTGCAAGGTCATAGACTTAATAAAGAAAAACGTAAGACACGTGGGGCCAAAGTTTGGCTCTAGCAAAGTCCGTTTCCAAACCGAGCAGCCTCAGTCCGTTTGTTGGCCACCTTCTTGGTTCTGTACCAGGAGCAAGAAAAGCAGGATGCCAGAGCCCAGATGTTGCAGCAGGAAGGGGGTGGGGTGGGGGGTGGAATTTCCACAGGCAGAGCTAATAACAACACAGGTAGTGAGGATGGAGCTGGAAGCAGCCCCAATACTCCGGCTCAGATGCTACGCCACCTCACTTCACCATCACGGCAATCCCGGGAAGGAAGCACATTTTTTATCCTCACTGCATAGATGAGGAAACTGGGGCTCCCCAATGAGACAGAGCCTGAAGTGAACTCAGACCCAGTCTGTGCTGCACCTGATTAGCCAGTTAACAGAGAAGTGAAGCCAGAGCACATGAAGTGCCTCGACATGAGGGTTAAGTAGGTGAATCCAACTGGAAGCTGGAGCTTGCAACTAGGAGGATTGCAATTCTCCCAATTACGATCCTAATTGGACTAGGACAGGGAGACATGCCGATGTGCACAGGTGTCACTAGGAAAGGCTGGACATGCACACAGGTTCTGTCCAGTCTGGGGTTCTGGGGTTGGGCAGCTGCATCTCCCCAGCTTCCAGGTGAGACCCAAGGGGCTGGAGGAGGGAGGGGAGTGTTTCTGGAAGAGCTGGGTCATAAATGATTTGGGCACAGCGAAGAAAGGCACTAACAGCGCAAGCCATTTTAGCTTTTTCTTTTGAATCACAGATCTCTGTAAGATTCTAATAAAGCTATAGGACCTCTGCGCTGAGGAAGGCACAGGTGATTCCACAATGTATCCCACCCAGGCCAGGTGAAGAGCACCTGATTGTGAAAACGAGAGCAGCAGAGAAACAGCCCCTCTTAGAAGAGGCACCAACACCCCCCAATGATGGCCAGTCTGGCTTTCTCTCAGATGCCCCTCCAATCCCCTCCTGGGGGCCCCCGTCCCCCATGTCCCCCCACCCTACCCCACCCCGCTTGCCCAGTTGAAAGTGGTGGCAGGCAGAGACTGTGCCCCTAGTTCGTGTTTTACCTCATTATTCTCATTGGATGAACCAAAAGGCCTGATGATTAAAAGCCATTAACCTCCCACCCCACATACACAGCAGGTTGCATCCTTTTGGATTGGAAAGTTTTGCATTCTGGAAGTGGGTTCTGGATAACCCCTGCTGTGCGCCCCCATATTCCAGCCGGCAAAGGAAGGGTGCAGCAACATCAAGGAACCTTCCAGCCTGGTGTTCCACTCCCATACCCTTACCTACTCCCCCAGCAGCCTCCCCAGACGCCTCATGACACTGCCTCTGAGACTAAGTTCAAGCCCCACACAGCCAGGACCTGGCCTTACTTTAGCCTGCCCACTTCACTCGTTTGCAGCAGCAGCAACAAAAGCCAACCAGATCCGCTTCAGGCCCCACCTCATGAAAACAGTACAAGAGAAATCAAGTCCAACTGCCATCACAGACCTTTTATTTCTAAAACCGGTTCATCATAGGACTCCTTCAAAAACAGACCTGCTCTCCCAGATCTGAAATACAGCCCGGCACCCCAAGTGCTCCAGCGCATGGGGAGGGCGCGTTTCTGTTGAGCCAACTGCCCGCCAACTTCCACGCTACAGGCATCAAATTGTCCACACCTCGATGCAGAAACACCTGTGTCCCCGCTTCCTGAACCACCTGTTTGTTCCTGCCACCTTTCTAGCCCAGGCCCTCACTGAAGCCATCAGTTGAGGTCTAGCCAGCCAGTGGGACGGTAGCCTGTTAGCACTGAGCCCCGTTGGACAGTCCAGGTCTACGCAGCCTTTTCTCAGGCTTTTTGCCTCTGAGACTCCCACTGAGATGCAAACACTCCTGGGAGGACCCCATGTCAGCCCCTTATCACCTGTCCTCACCTGGCCGGTTGGAGATACCTTCCTGGGGAGCAGAGGCTGACTGCAGGTGGTAGAAAGAGGATATCAGAGGGAACGGTCCACGACGAGTAAAGCCTCAGCCCGCAGCCAGCGTCCAGGTGAAATCGTTTTGGGTAAGTGGCGCTCAAGGTCCAGTCGAGGCGGGCTCCAGCAGGTGGGAAATCCAGCACAGGTGTTCCCATGCACAAGGGTGCCTCCGCCCCACTCCCACCCTGGAGATTCGAAGACGAGGCCAATGTTTTGAAAAATATAAAACTTTAATAAAGGCTACATCTCTTAATTACAATAATTATTGTACCAAGTAATTTTCCTTAAATGAACTCTTTATAATGCATAATTTACAGTTTAAGTAGAACAAAATGCCATGGCAAAAGTCATTGAGTACAAGACTTGTAATAAAAAGGCATAAAATAGATTTATACATAAACCCCTTTCAAAAAACAAGGGAAAGCTGGAGCCCTCAATATAGGGCGACACACGGAGTGCGACACCGTGCAGGTACAGGTACTGTACTGATTCAAAGTCAAGCACTAGAGATAGTGGATTAATACTCTTTTGTCGTACGATATATACAGACGTATAGTACAGGTAACAATGGCAAACAGAATGTACAGATTAACAACACAAAAACCCAAACGTCAAGATGAAGGTGTCTGGAGGAATGGGTGCTGCTAGGTCTTCCCACAACTGTTCGCTTCTTTGCAGGGCAGGCGGGGTAGTTTCCAGAATGGCTCGGGTCCAAAGACTAATTTTTTTTTTTTAAAAAAGAGAAAACAACTCCAAGGAATTATTTCAATAAAAATCACACGTGGAACCACAAGGTTCGAGCAGGCCTCAGCCACTGGGTGCTGGGCCTTGGTGGACAGCTACAAGAAGTTACAGGATGACTCTGGGGCCCCAGGGAGGCCTCCCCTCCTCTGCAATGGATCACCCCATCCGACATGATGACCCCAAAATGGCGGTGATGTTGTAATGTTAAGTCAAACCTCAAGACCTTTGTGACAAAATAGAGCAGCATAGGAAAGAATAAAAATGCACCAATTTCTGCATGTGTCAATGGCAGGGCACCATTTAAGAAAAGTCTATCTTCACTTGGAGAAACGCAGGGCAGAGCACAAATTCCTCTTTTAATGAAGAAAGCATTAATGCGCTCCTAAGCTCAACTCCTAAGTTTAGACAGAACAATGAAAACTTCCTCTCCCCCTTCCATGTTTAAAAGCAGCATATCCATAAACTGGGGACAGGGATAATCAATTGTTCAATAAATATCAGTAAGGATTCCTGTTCAGGTAAGCTATACACAGTTTCTCTTAGTTTATGGATTTCAGATCCCTAGGAAGTCATATATTATGTATGGCAGTCTCTCAAATACAGTCAGCTTCTTCAATAGCCAAGAGTGGTCATGTTTTTAATAAATAGTTCAGGCTTTTCTTATCTCAGTACCCAGCTTGTGATTAATGAAAACCAACCTCCCCGCACCCTCCCCCAAGGCCCAGTGGCCAATTCTTCCCTAGACTTTTGTCTTCATTGTTTCTTTTCCTTCAAAAATGTTTCATCGCGGCCGCTCACGTCTGAGGCCTTTCATGGGGGCTTTGGCCCCACAGCTCGCCAAAGCCAGACCCACACGGCTCAGTCGATCCGCTCCACTTTGCCCAGAATCCTGCCTTCATACATGGGCAGCACCATCTCATCGTCCCAGATCTCCTCAAAAACTGCTCCACAGGCAAACTCGTCGCTTGCTTTTTTGAAGTAATACCTTAGAAGGAAAACGCAAAAAGCATCTTGGTAAAAACGCATGTTCTACTTGAAAAGAAACGTTAAATCAACACTCAGGACTGAGGTATCTTGACAACGCTCCTACTGCAGGTGTCCAGGTCAACGTTCGCCCTTATCGGATTCAGATGGCTACGGCGGCGGGTCGAAGGGCACAAACGAGCGGGTCTTGTGACACTCAGGGAGGAGAGCTGGGCACCCTGCAGGCAGCAGCCTGGGTGGGCTCCCCCTGCACATGGCTCTGAGGCTGCAGTCTTCAGCCTAGAGCTGCGGCCACCGACACACATGCTGTGAAAAGCGCGCTTTGCAGACTAGAGCTGCTGCTCTCTCTGGGGGATGGGTGGAAAGGGCAACGCTAGCCTGCAGGTCCATCTGTAGCCGCCGCCAAGAAAGGGGTCCCTCAGAGAGACCCCAGGCTCAGCCAGCCTGAACCTGGAGAAGCCTGTGGAAGGCTAATCCGCCAGGAAGCTGACACCTCTAGTCCTTCCCACCTTGCAGTGCCCAAGTGCCAGCTCTTCCAGCGGGTCTCCGGCAAAGCCATGGGCCAGCCAGCACGGGAGGCAGGCCAGCCGGTCCATTCCCAGGGCAGCAGACAGCACCCACCCTCTTCTCCGCAGGCCCCGCCTCCTCTCACCCACCCCTCCAGGGTCAAACACTAAGGGCCCTTCCATTATGCCTGTTGATTAAAGGTTTCTTTTATCCCACCCAGCCTTCTTTCTTCTAAGGCTGTTTAATTGTATGGGCTCAAATGACCAGTTTCTCCGACGGGACTCTCTCAGGAGAGTCCCATTGGGAAGCAGTGGCTGTCCTCCCGGGCCCCTCCCAAGGAAATGAAGCGAAGTCCTTTTCCTTCCCTGTCCCCAGCAAGGGAGACCCCTCACTCAGTTTAAACTTGCCCCTGCAAGCTGTCATCTTCAACCAATAAAGGCCACTCACAGAGGGAGGGTCACAGTCCCCTGGTAGGGGGGGAGGGTAGCCTCTCTAAAAAGTTTAATTGTGTCTCAGGGTTATGGTTGTTTTTTGTTTTTGTCTTTTCTCTTAAAAAAAAAATCCCCTTGGTTAAATTTTTTTCTTCTTTAATGAAGGCAAGCCAAATACTTTCATAGGAGATAAGGCTAAATAAAGTGAAACAGCTGGGTTTAGTCAAGGTTCTTTGTTTTTAGCATTCTCGGCTGAGCTAAAGATTCGGGGTGAACAGTGCGGCTCAAAATGGTCAGTGGTGAAAACGCTTCAGATGGAGGGGGTCAGACTATTGCGGGGAGCCTGAGAGGAGATGGTAAGTAAGTGGGGAGGGGCACTGGGCATAAGAGACCCTGGGCAGCAGGAAAAAGTTACTTTTCCTTAGAAATAAGAGGCTCCAATTCCGATGCCCCCTCAGTCATGCCCCTCAGTTGGGGTCACCACGTTGGGCTTTCATGGCAAACACACAACGACCTTTTACATAATCTCAACCTCTTCCAGAGAGGAGAGAGGCAACCTTCCCTTGGTCCAACCCCCAAGACTTCAGAAGTGCTCACTGCCCTCATGTTCTCCTAGAGACGGGCTTTTCCACTGCAACATGCTTTATGTGGCAAACTTTGCTTTCTTCTGACATCTGGCACCAATAGCGTCTGGCACGTCTGGAGGGGCTGTTCTCCTTTTGAACCCCTGCCATGGTGAGATTACTCAATGCGGCCCAGGTCCCCCACTCCACAGCCGCATCCTCGCCGGGCTTTTTACTGTGGGGGGCGGGGGGCGGTGAGGGGGTACAAACCGAATGTTGGAGCACGACCCCTACTGGGGGTGGGAGAGGCATGGCACCCTGTGCCCCCACCACCCAGGAGGGCAGTGAGTCCGGCTGCGGCCCCAATAGAGAGAGATAAGGGGCTGGGACGGGCCTGGCCACAGCCTGATCCAATCAGTAAAGAATTTGAGCATCGACCATTTGTGCAAGTCTTTGTGCATTAAAGGGGAGGCCGGGGCTTCAAAGCCAGGCTTATTAAGTGTGCCTTAGAAAAAAAATCAGAGCCAGATGTGGCCGGAGTGGCTGAGTGCAGAGCCTCCCCTGCAGCCTCTCTGCTCAGTGCTCCGTGGCCCTTCTCCCCTGAAGGTCACCTGTAGTTCCAAAGTCCAGCCGAGTCAAAGCTGAGGTCAAAATAAATCCCCGGAGGGGCACGTTTGCGTAATTAGTTTCACCTTGTGTCTGTTCAAGATTAAAAAAAAGAAAGCAGGCCGGTTTCCCAAGCCTTTTGATGCATTTTCAGAACTGTCTCTGCCCAGGTGTAAAAGCGGAAGATCTAAGCCCAGCCAGCTCCACACCCTGCTTGTCAGTCACCTACGAGGTCCCAGTCCGAGCCCCTGAATCAGCTCGCAGGCTGACGCGGCTGCTCGGGAAGGGACGGGTCTTGGGCCTTAGAGGTGGACTTGCCTGGGTGCTGGAGTTGGTGGCCACCAGGCAGGTTGCTAAGTGCTATTTGAGTTCTCCACTCCCATGCCCAGCTTGAGGCAGCCAGGGGTTGGCACTTTCTGGGCACGTACTGTGTGCCTGGGCACCTCACCTGCCTCTCCCTTGTCCCAGCCACGCGTACTGCACCAAGATTCGGCTGGAGAAGAACCCACCTAGTCCCTTGGGATGAAGGCCATCCACCGAGATGGGTCAAGTGATCAAGAAACGGTCCAGGGCTGGCGCACAGCTCCTTACTCCTCACCAGGGCCCAGGAACGCCAGGGTGGGAGGGGCCGAGTTCCCTTCCCAAGGTCCTGGCGGGAGGAGCGGCAGGCCCAGGCCACCTGCTGCACACCCGCAGGTCCTGCCCCCTCTGTTATGGACAAAAGACCATCCCTTCCCACGACGCAGAAGACAGACTGAGCAGTTCTGTGGGCAGAAAAGCGGAGCGAGGAGGCTGCTACCTCCATTTCCAGGCAATGCCCTCTGCCCTTCCCCACGTGTGCGTGTGGACAGTCTTGCCTACACCCAAGCCGCGAGAGCCAGCTTTTGGTCTCCTAGTGGGTCTGTCCACCTGTCTGTCTGTCTCTTCTCTCCCCTCTCCCCACTCACCATCCCTCACCCTTCTCCATTTCAGGCACAAGATGACCCAAACCCAGCTCTCCTTCTGACAAAGCCAACTGTCCCTTTCTCCTCAGTGTCTTGTTCACCTGGGAGAAAAAGCCCGTCCAGGTGCCCACAGAGCCCTCCCAGCTGCTGCTGCTGCTGTGATATTTCTGGTAGTGGTGAGGGGAGAGAGGACATGAGAAGGAACCAAAGCATCCAAGAGCCCACCCCCATGGCCTCCTGGAGCGCTTCCTAAGCCCCTTCCCTCCTGGCTCCTCCCAGGTCTGGCCAGGCCAGTGAAGTGACTGTGGCTCTTGGTTCTGAGCAAACAAACTCTGGAGCAGAAAGAAGCCACAGGGCTCTTACCTATAATTTCCCTTTTTGCTGAGCTGCTCTTTAAAGTGGCCTAGGGTCAAGCTCTGAGCCTTCAGCATCCTCCTATATGGAATTTCTTCTCCACAGAAGAAGTAGGTGACAACCAACTCGCTGGCCTGGAGCGTGTGGACCCCTGCTGGTTTCTTTGGCTCTTTGTGGCTGCAAATAAGATGGAACACAACAAGTTCAGCATTTGAAGGCAGCAAGCAAGCAGTCTCTCTCTCTCTCCAAACACTGTCTCCAGAGGTAAAGCAAGGCTGCAGCTATAAGCTCAAAGGGGGCTTGGGGGTGGGGCCCCCATATCACAGAGGCAGCCACCTCTGGGAGGGACACAGTCCAAGCCCAGGTTGCCTGTGTGGAGCACACAAGAAGGGACCATTTGCTTGGTTGTATAAATTGCCATTGTTTCTCTTACTACCACCAAATGGGGGGACAGAGCCGTCTCTTCCAGGTTGGCACGAACGGGGTGCTTGCCATGGAGATGAGAAGAGAAATGACCACAGATCCATAAGGACAGTCACCCTGACCAGGGTGCGCTGCAGAGACCAACTCCAAGCACCTCCTGGGATGGTGGCATGAACTCGGAATGCTGTGAAGCCCACTCATTTTGACTTCCCCATTTATTCTGAGTTTTTGTAGAGTGGCTTAAAAATATTTTTTTTAAAAAAGCTGCAGGCCCAAACAGCTGGTAGACTTAAGGTCAACCCATTAAAACAAAAGGGTCCAGGGTGGCGGCTTATTCAGGACTTCAAACATTGCTCATGGCTCAAGATAAAGAAGCTAAGGAAAAAAACTTTAATTATTTAGACCATTTTAGATCTCTGCAGCAGATTTCTTTGTAAAGGCACCATCCTGTAATTAAATGAAGCCAGGCTTCTCTGTCCATTTGGCAAGAGTGTAAATTTACAAAAGGGATCACGGCGCGATTAGGGAAGATGCTCTGCTTTCCCCGAGCGCAACAACAACGATCCCCTTCTCTCCATCTCTGCAATGTCATCTTCCTGCTCAGTGGGACACAAAGAGGTTTCCAACTTGCTAACTTGCAAGCTGGATGGGGGCAACTTTTCCATCTAGGTTTGGGGGTCCCCGTTATCCATCTGCTAATGGCTTCGTGTCTCAGCCTGTGACTAGTGTGCACCCAGGCATCCTGGGCCATCCGTCACTTCTGGAAGGAGCACTTGTGTACAAGTCACGATGCACTGCTCAGTACCAGCAGGATTTTCAAGATCCTAATTTATGGCACCATCTGTGTTTACTGTTCCTTGTCACTAACGTTCAAATCAAGGTGATTGTATATACTAAAAAAAAGTTTTCAAAACTTGTAACTCCAGATAGTGAATCCCCTGGCGTGTACACCACTGGGTGGGTCTCAGCAATGCCAGGCAAAGACACTCACCCTTCTGAAGCCAGGCTTGGGCTGGAGAAGGGTGTGGTTCCTGTCTGACCAGTGGCTGAGTGATTCCTGTCCCTCTGCTGACTGGCCACGCAGCACCTGAGGACACAGCCAGAACAAAGGATTTAGAGGTAAGCCTGCTGTCCCCAGGGCAAATGGGAGACAGACAGAACACTACTCTCTGTGCCCTCCTAAAAAGACACACAGACCCGATTTCCATCCATGGGGAGACCCAACCAAGGCCGTGTGTTAACAATGGCTCTGGGAGGCCTGGAAGACGACGTGTTGGGAATAGCTATCCTAAGCCCCCTGGGAGCTCAGGACTGGAAACTGTCAGTCCAGGCAAAGGGCTGAAGGTCCTCGATTCCTCATCAGTCATGGGATCTTATAGACTCATCTAACCAGCCTTAAAAGATCCAGATATTTGTAAGAATCACTGAATTTCATTCTCCTCCTTCTAGGCGTGGCTTACTTAACACACAGATCCTGGTTAGCTCTTCAGGGTGAATGGAACTAAAGGGAACAATTTCTAGAGGTTGGGAAGGAGAATCTTATGCGACCAGAAGCAATTCCTCCTTCCCGAGCAAAGATCAAGACCCAGCAGAAAAGGCCCTTCCCTTAGCCACAGGCCAGGTGTCCACCTCCACACCCCATCCCTGCCTTTCGCCTGACGACGGTTCTTGCACTCACCGCTGCTTCGGGGGTTTCGACACCTCAGCCAGCCTGCGGCAGGCCTCCTCCAGCTGGGCCAGGGTGTTGGGTGGGGTCAGGGGAGGCATTGCAGGGTCCTGGGTGAACGGGTGGGCACGGGGGGCCGCGCGGGGGTGCCCGCTGCTGCCCCCCCACAGGTGGTGCCGGCCGGCTCGCTCAGCTGGAGATGCACGGGCAGACTCCAAGGGGTAGGCCTTTTTTGTGCTTTGGGCACTGAATAAGGAATGAGGAGAGAGAGAAAGGAGGAATTAGGTTAGAAAAACTGGAAAATGTGACTTCGAGAGAAACTTCTCTATTTTGCCTTCAGAGAAAAAAAAAATAACTCTACCATAACACGAACGGGGGGCATTGCCAAAAACGTGGCATTTTTGTGGTCTGCTCAGTCCAGCGTTTAATATTAAGACGGCAGGAGTGAACAGTCACATTTGTTTCCGGCCGGCTGCAAAAATAGCCACCCCCGCAATCACCTCGGTGCTGACTGCCCGACCCCGGTGGCGGCGACAGTGTTTACCTATGGGGCTTGGGCTTGCTCTGCCGCTCAGTCTCCAGCATCCACTGCCAGACGTCCTGAGACCTGTCTCCTTCCTCCCCGGGCAGCTGCAGCGCCCCGGCTCCTTCCCTGGCCAGCGGGGCCAGGCCCGGCTCCGTGCCTCTGCCACTGCGCTTGGGCAGGGTGCTGCCTCTGCTGCCGCTATGGGAAGCCAAGAGCCACACGGGCCCAGAGAGCCGTTACTTCTCTGAGATTGCCCCCGTCGGGCAGAGGAGCGGGTGGTATGGTGACACGCACCTGCTCTCCTCAGCCCCCAGCCTGTGCCTCCCTCCTGGAAGCAAATGCCTGTGACCTCTGACCCCACCCACCTCACACCTGATTGGGACAGGAGCCCCAATTGGGACAGTCCAGTCTGCCGGGCACTTACCCAAACTGCTCTGCTGGCCCGGGCTCCGGAGCCTTGGGGTGGCTTTTACATTTCGGGTAGCAGTAAAACTCAGGACCCCCGGGGCAGAAGCAGCGCACCCTCTGGGCAGCCTCCGCCTCGATCTCCTCCTTGGTTTTGGGGACGGTGTGGTGGTGAATGTAGTGGTGGTGTACATGCTTCGTCATCTGCTTGGTCACGAAGCCCTTGGCCCCAAGGAGGGGGCAGCTGGCCGGAGAGGCTGCGGCGGGGGGCAACTTGCCCCCAGGCGGGAGTAGGGGGTGGTACTGCGGGTGGTGGTGGTGGTCCGGGGAGCGGGAGCGGGGGCTGTAGCGGCCCACGCCGGGGGACTGGCAGCCGGGGGTCTTAAGGACCCTGGACAGATGGTCGTCCAGAATCGTCTGTGGGTCCTCCTCATAGCTGCCAGAGGGCAGGAGGGAAAGGGGGTGCTGGGCGGGCACCCCGTCCCGCGAGCCCAGCGGTAGCTCAGAGCCTTCCTTCTCTTCATCCTGGGAAGGAAGGCAGCAGAGGGGGCGTCCCATGAGCAGGAGGGACCCTTGGCAAAGGCTGGGGGGGCGGGGCCGGGCAGGGCGGAGCCGGCACTACCTCTCGGATCTGCTGCAGCCGCTCCTCCAGGCTGTGGCGGCTTTCCAGCTCCAGCTGTAGCTTCTCCAGCCTGGAGATCAGCTCCGCAGCGAAGGCGGCGGGGTCCACGGGGGTCATCTCCTTGGGCAGGCGGTGGGTTCTCTACGGGCCGCGGGGAGGAAACGGACGGGGGCGGGGTTAGCCAGCCAACCGCACTGTAGCAGCGCCGGAGCTTCCCGGGGCCAGGGACATGCTCGGTGGCTCCAGGTTCGGGCCGAGCTCGGTGGGCTCAGCAGCCCGGGCTGCGGGGGAGCTTTATGCGCCGGCACCGCGGCCTCATGGAGCGACATGGTCCCCACCAGCATTTGCCTTGGGCAGGAGCAGTTGGTCGCACTCCGAGAGGCCCGGCTTGTTCTCTCTGTAGTACAACCAGCCCATCAGTAGCTACTCTGAAGTAGAAAATCTTCAAAGACTGTTGTCAAACATCAAAAAAAAAAAAAAAAAAAAAAAAGGCTGCCTCTGAGGCGGGGAGGGGAGAAAGACCAACTCAAGGAATAAAAAGTAGAGTCTAAACAGAAAAGGAGTTGGAAATTAAAAAAAATAAGATTGGAAGGGAGGTGGGGTGGGGGGAGAGGAAAAGGGAGGGAAAAAAGGGAGTCACACGGCCGGATCAGAAGAAGTGGTAATTTATTTCCTGGCCGCACACAGCGCACCTTTGAGGCGGTGTTGTCTCAACACTGCCCTAGATCTGCCTGCTTTCCTCCACCCCGCCTCCCTGGCTCTTTGTACAGAAAATGAAGAAAGCGGCTGCGGGCTAGTCGCAGAACACTGCTGAGTTTGGCTGCCTGAAGCTGATCTATCAAGGGAAAAGGGAACATCTCCAAATCAAGTGCAGAATATAAAAAGGCACCGAGAGCGCCTGCCAACAGCAGCAAACAGAGAGAACCCCCACCGCCCTGCTTTCTGTCCTTCTCCTGTCATCTCGCCCACCCCCTCTTTCGTGGCGGTTCTGCCTCCTTCCTCATTTCATTCCTGCTTTGCCCTTTCCTTTGGGGTGGGGGCAACAAACATCCAACCTGCGAAGGTCAGCATTTTCCCCAGCAGATGAGCAGGCCTTGCCGCGTCAACTACTTAGCGGCAGAACCTCGTGCGGAGATGGCCCTTCTCACAAATGCAGCCCTCCTCTCCGCCCCCCCCCCCACTACCACCACACCCCAGGACCAAATCACCTACTTTACAAGCTTGGGTGACAGAACTTAATATTAACACACATACACACCCTGACCCATCAACGAAATTGTATATCATCAATTCTGTTGTATTTGGGAGATACTGTTATTGAGGGGGGTGCTGGAAGTCTCCGGAACAGCAATCTTAATATGCTAATTTTAGGACAGGGTTAGGTCTGCCCCAGACCGTGTGAGGAGCTTTCAGAGGAGATGCCCCAGCAACGATCCGATCCGTGCACTAATGCAACACGGGATTAGCAATTCAGAGTGTTAATTTCCTAAATGCAACATAACCCACGAGCCAATTGGATTCTCGGAAGCCGGCAGGAAGGATTCACAGAGATGCCACTCTACACTGGGCACTCTGGCAGCAGCTTCCTTGTAACCTGGGTCTCAGTGTATTGACAGAAGCACAGTTCCTGAAATGCAGACGGGAGGCTCTTGAAGACATGGGGCCACGTGCTGGCTGCCCGCTAGGACATGGAACTAGGAGAGGTCCCAGAAGAGTCCTTCACACCACGTGGGCCTCTCGTCTCAACCACTGGAGAAGCTGGGTGAGGGAGCCTCGCTTCCTAATGCTTCAGACTATGTGCAGATGTAACAGCGGTACTAAGTCAAGTCCTGGGGTTGGAAACAGACAACATGGAATAGCTGCCCTCCAGGGCTTCAGAAGCCAGCAGGAGAAAAGGCCAAGTAACTAGATAAATGGATGACTGAAATGACCAAGCCATGCAGTCAACACAAGGACAATGTCCCAGGGATGTGATTTTCCTCCCATGGGAGGCAGAGGTTCCTTTAGCCTACTCATTCATTCAATTGACAAATGTCTATTAAGCACCTATTATGTGCTAGGCACCTTTCTAATCTCTGTGGATACGGAGGTTAAAATGACAGACAAAACTCCGTGCCCTCAGGGGGCTTCCATTCTAGCAGAAACAAAATGTGTAGCAGATTATCTGCTATCATGTCCTGGTTTCTGGGGAGGAACTGCTTTGGTTTCTTTCGCATAAAAGATTTTCTTTTTTGAAGTGAGAAAATGTAAAGGTTCAAACAGGTCATCTTGAGCTCAGTGTCACACCCCAGTGAACCATGCAGCGTGTCCTGCCTGGTCTTCCCTTCCCTCCCTTTCTCCTGGCAGACCCCAGCAATGCTCCTCCTCCTTTCCCTATCTCTCCCCTTCCACCTCCCATCCCTCTTCTTCAGGACTCACCGTGGCCCAAATCGGCTGCCTCCCCCTACGGAGTATACTCACCGGGAAATGAGGTAGAGACACTTGGCCATTGGCCTTCACGCTGCGATGCATTTCTCTCTGGAGCTGTTTCTTACTCCCCACACGGTAAGGAGGGATTCCATCTCTAAGGGAAGGAAAAAGAACCCACAGGCTCACGAGAATGCTTTCAACACTCAGGATGCTCACGAGCCACGCAGCTATCCCACCAATGAAGAGGGTCACACACACTCCCCACGGGAAATGTGCCACCTGTCCCAGGCACCACGCGTGTTCCTATGGGGAAAGATCAATCCACAGGCCAACTGCCAAACCTCCTGCCCATCAATCACCTCCAGAAATGGCTCCCTCTTGGGTTTTGGATCACTGACTTGGAAAGCGCTTGGTAAGCTCATCTCTCAGGCTGTTGTCAGAACTGGGTCACACTCCAGCCAGCCGGGTCAGAGTGAAGGCTCCCCTACTTTACAGGTGCCCCAAGCAGGAGATTCTAAGACCCCTTTGGTCCTCCCAACAGTCCATTACCCCAAATCAGGAAACTAGGCATGCCTTAGGGAACATACGGGCCAGACCCACAGAGGGCTAAGCCAGGCATCAGTGAGGGCATGCGTGATTCTGCACCAGTCAACCTCCAAATTCCTTCCTTTTATAAATCACCACAAGGGTATCTCTGGGCTCCTTCCTTCCCTCAGCTCCAAACCCTACCACCCCCAACCAACAAAGTCTCAAAGACACATGACCGATGTGAGCATAAAGAGAAAGCCCCTACTATGTGGAATTTGGGGCAATTCATTTAAATATTTGAGTACCTACTATGAGCCAAACCTTGTTCTAGGCACTGAGCAAGAGAGCAGTGAAGAAAGGGGATAAAAATGCAGAGGACTGCCTTCATGAAGTTTATATTCTAATGGGGTGGCCCAGGCAATAAGCCAAACGAAACGAGTAAAATCTATAGCATTTTAGTACTATGACAAAATACATTGCAGGAAATGGGGAGACGGCCACTGCCGGGGGGGGGGGGGTGTTACAATTTCAAAATCCTCTCCCACCACCTAGTACTCACTGGCTATAGGGCATGCCAGTTGGCTCAAGGGGGTGGGGTGTCGTGTCAATAAGTCCTTGCAAAGGCCTTCATCATTATATTGGGGGGAAGGGGGGAAAGCAAGTGGAAGAGGTAAGGAAAGCCTGCACTCTGCACTCCAATTAGTCTTCACTAGAAGCATGACCTGGAGTTGCTAGGATTTTTTTTTAGAATGGTGGTCAAGGTGGGACTACTTTTCCATCGCTGTCCCTTCTGGAGGCCACTTATTTACAGAAGCCTCAGGGTTCAAACAGTTCCATCCTGAATCATACTTGGAGGCTGTAAATATTGAAACTAGGTCTTTGGCTAGTTCCCTTCCCCTGGTGTTTTGCTCATCATGAAGTGGAAGGAAGAAAAACATCTTTGGCTCAGCAGCAGTGGGTGAAAACCAGCAGTGCCTAAAAATACCCAGGAGCAGCCAGGGGTCGACCTCCAGCTCCCCATCCAAAATGCCCTAGAATTCCAAGTGTCTGTGTTTTCTGGACGTCTGCTGACCGAGACCAGAGAACAGGGCCACCACGGGGATGACGCAGATCATGGCCAAGAGAGCAATGCGTTAGCCAAACCTTATGGATGATCATACTGAGGGTTCAGGGGGAAAAGAGAGGCCGGTATCTACAGCAGGGACTTCCATACCCGGGTGAGTCCCGTCCCGGAGAAGGGCTGACAGGGGCAGAGCCAGTGAGCATGGTGGGAAGACGTTGGCCAGTGCAGGTCGTCACCCAGACAGCCTCCACTTACTAAGGCCTGGGACTTGACCAGGCCCTTGAAGGCCAAGGATAAAGGCTCTAAGTCCAGAAACTTACTGAATCACCTGGAGCTTATTTACCAAAACTCCATGTTTTCACCTCGAGATTGTTTACAAGACATGGTAGAAAACTAGGCGCTCACCAGAATGCCTGGCTTGACCAGTAACCAAATTCCACACCACACCACACCACCCGACTGATTCCAGCCCAAGGCTGCCGGCCCCCACATACTGAGTTCCTACTGTGGGTCAGACACATCTGACCTATAACCCAACTTCATTCTCACAAAAACCCTAATTCACCACATTGTACAGGTGGCCAGGGACATAGTCAGTACCGGTCAGATCCAGGATCCAAACCCAAGCTGCCAGGGGACTCCTTAACAGGTGTCCTTAACAACCTATAGCCCCAGCCTAACCTGGAGAATCCAAGGTTCCTGACTGTCTGAAAGTGGAGGCGTCACTTCTTAAAACCCGTGAAGTCACCTAACGCTGTGAAGAGGCGAACGGGAGATTTGAGGGACATTCTGGAAAGCCCTCTACCACCACACAGCACTCACTGGCTATGGGGCATGCCAGGTGGTTCCCGAGGCCCAGTGACTATCCCCATCTCTCACCTAGAGTCCCTGTTGGGGTGGGGGTGGGGGTGGAGTCCCCCAGATTGGGTCTCTTGATGGTCTAACCAACTTCTGCTGCCCCAGGGCTGCATGATAGTGTCCACACCCTTCTCCTGATCAACTCTTCTGCAGACTTAATAAGAGTGGATGGCACTGCCCCAGGACTCTTCCTGACCATCTTGGGGGGCATCAGTCAAGCACCCTATGAACCCCACTGTGACACATGCAGGGCCTCAAGAGTCCTAGAGGAGGCCCCATCCACACCCTCCAAGACTCTGTCCTCGAGTGTCCTCTAGTAGCCCTTTCCACTTCGCTCCTTTCCTCCCAGACGGAAGTCAGTGGCAAGGCTTTTATATACCTCTTTTTCTTTTTCCATATAATGGAGAAAGAAGAGAATTGAGGAACGTGGGCATGAGGCAGGGGTGGGGGTGGAGCAGGTCACTGGCCGATTAAAGGCCAGAGAAGCAAATGATTTTTTTAAAGCACTCACCCCCGCAACCAACACACGCACCCCACTACACCCAGGGTAGCTGATGGGTCCACTGCAGGAAAAGGGAGATTTCAACTTTCGAGGCTCAAAGAGGTGCAACAGGCACCTTCAAGGAAATGTGGCTTTAATTCTCCCCCAGCCAAGAGTCTTCTTCTAAAGCAGCCCCTCATTCCAGAAGGGGGCCTCTCTTCTTTTTATTCAGGCTCTAACAGTGTACGGTCCGCTTCCCGGCTGCTCAGAACTGGGAGTTGAAGAGCGCCCGAGTTTCGGTCCCTATACAGTCTCCTTTCATTATAAACATTTTAGCTAACGAGCCCGCTGCCGGGCCCAGCTGTTTCTGGGGGAGCACTGGTTTTGAAGTGTGGACTCCACTTAGCTGCCATTTAAGCCGAGCCAATTAGCTTAGCCTTTTGACTCCGCAGTGCCCAGCCTAACCTGAATGTCATTTTCCGGTGGCTTTGAAATAGCAGACTCATGCGCACAGGCGCCCACTCGCCTTTTCATTTGGCAGCCTCTCAGAGGGCCGTCTCTGATCACAGCCAACATCAAAAGCCTGGTTTGTAAGATAAGGTAATATTTGAAGCTCACGCGGATGCTTTCCCTGGTGTCCAAAGTAAACCCATAAATAAGATATAAGGAAATAAAAATAAATAAATAAAATAACCTGTGCCGCTCTCTGCAGGAAGCGCGAGGAAAGCGTCTCGCACTGATTCTGTGACCCGCCCACTCCCCCCCAACCCCCACCCCGCGCCAGAGCAGATGCAGCCTATAAGTCAGGCTGATCCGGGTTCTAAGAGCAGCTCTGCGCAAAATGAAAAGACAGAAGTTTCCACGCTGTGGAGACCTGGCTTTCACAGTTCCTGGCTGCCACTCACGAGCAAAGAACCTGCTGCTTCTGAGGCTTTCAGCCCCTGGCTTCATCCTCCCAGGCCTGATGCCCAGGAATGCTCCCCCCCACCCAAAAAAAAACAACAAAACACCCCTTCTGTCTCCAGTGCTCCCAGACTGGGGTTTAGGACTTTGGTGGGAGTCTGGCAGCTAACTTTCAAAAAAACTTAAAATGCCATTCCTCCTGAGAATGCAGGTTTCAGAGTAACAGGCTTGTAAAACGGCCTTCTCAGAGGCCTACTAAGAAGTCCCACATCCCAGCCATCTTTCACAAGGCTTTTTACTTAGTGGGAAAACAGAAGCCAGCAGTGGGCTCTGGGTGAAGGCAATGATTTCTTTAAAGCCCCTGGCTGCTCTGTACCTCCAGGCCCCAGTGCACAGGTTCCTGGAATAGCCAAGCGGGGCCGGTCCTGCCCAACTTCCACCCAGGCCTCTTGCAAAGGCCCCCGGGACTTAATTGGTTCTGTCGCAAATGAGTCGATTCCCCCCCCCCTCCGCTTGTGTCTAATGAACTCCAACCTTCTGGAGTCTATTGAAGGCCGCCTGTGACTCCCTCTCCCCCCTCCCCAACAGGGTTCCCTCCCCACCTCCCAGCAGGGCAGCCAGCCCCACTCCCCAGCCCCTCACAGCCCAAGCTGGCCATTGTGACCAGGAGAAACAGCCAGGACCTTTTCATGCTTTATGGGGCGCTCCTGCTCCTATTCACTTCTTCAAGGAAATTTCAAAGGGGCCTGCTACCCTCTTATCCCCTCTAAGCTTCCCCGGATGAACAATGGGCTGAAAGCGATTCAGTTCGGCTTTTCATCCCCCCCCACACTTTATTTCTCACTCGGTGCTCTCATCTGCGCCAGGCCCACAATTGGCAGAGCTCTGAAGAGGGGTCTAATCCCAGCCCTGGGAATCCTGGGTGACCTGCCCGACACTGGGCAGATCACACACACCCTGGGCCAGTGGGCCAGAAAGTGCCTTGCACAGCCTGGCTTTTAGAGCATGCCAAGTCTGCTGGGGAGGGGCGGGGGGGGGGCGCCTGGCAGCTTGAGACCCACAGGAACACACATCCCATCTGATGCGCTCTTACTCTGAAGACCCCCTTGTCCCCATCGTAGGCAGCATGAGGAAAATAGCCCTGCACAAACCACTCTTGGAAGATGGTCCTGCGCTGATGAGAAACGCCCTCCCAGTTGGTATAAACACGCCCAAGTGGGTCCGGCTGCTACAGCCCCATCTGATAACCTGCCCACTCGGTTGGGACAAGGCTCAGCACCGCCCAACGCGGACGTCAGGAGGATCAGCTCCAATGCCACGAGCCTCCAGGTCTCCAAGCCTTCCAGGCACCTTCTCTTGGTGTTGGCATCCTGGTTTACTCTTCACCAAGGCAAGGTAGCTTCAACCCGGGAGGGACCCCTGAGGTTCTGCCACTTGGAACCCAGGGGAATGTCCTGTGCCCCAGAGAGAAAGCTGCTAAGTGAGGGATCTGCCCTCTCGACTCTGTACCAAAGGGGGCCTCACTGGGCCACGCTCTGAGAACAGCTGACTCGCGAAGGTAACATCTCTGGTTCCTGAAAGTGGCTTTCCTGTGCTTCAAGCTCACAAGTTCTTTAGCTAAAGGGGAGAAGGGTGAAAGCTTTAAGGTCACCTCCATAAAATTGAGGGCAGTTTTCTTCCAGGAAGCAGATACAAAGAAGAGGGGTGAAGGGGGGGAGGGTGCAGGGGAGAAGCTAGAACTCGCTCCCTCCCACTCCTCCCCCAACCCATTAAAAAAGCAGCAGTGTGAGAAATCACTAACAAAAAGAAAAGAAACTCAAAGTGGCTCAAAGGTCTCATTATCAATGGGTCCTAATGACATATCTCACGTTGGAGATGCTCATGCTTAGGGGGTAGGGAGGTACCAGGTCACGGGCAGCGGCCTATGTCTGGCCTGGACCTGCGCTCTGTCTCTGATAGGACAAGCCAGGAAGCATGGGCCCTACTTCCGCATCTGGAAGTCACAGAGGACGGCCTACATTTCTGATTGGATCTTGTGAGGCTCAAACATGTATGAGGACCACACCCAAGTTACCTCATTGTGAACCCAGAATATCACCTCAACGATGGGGCGCGAAACGCCGGCAAGGACCAGGAAGCAAGCCAAAAACAGTCTTCAAGAAAACTAAACAGAAGCCTTCTAGTCTCACATAAGCTACCTGTGACGCAGGAGATTCACTCCGTGCCCTCCTTCAAGTCCACTTAGCCTTATTTTACATACGATGCTAAGGCTCCCACGCCATCCACAGAATAATACAAGCGGAAGGAGTAATGCTACTCGTAGCAAGCACACAGAGAACAGCAAAAAAATGACAGCAGGCAGAAAGACGAGGAAAAACAAAACCTATTTCTGAAAAGGGGTGGGGGGTGTCAATATGTATAGGGGCAGACAGCCTCACACAAGCTAAGATAATACTACAATGCAGTATGAAAACAGATCTTGACATTATTGGGACCACAAAATAAATTATGCCTGTCTAATATTATTCAATCAAGTCAGAGCAAAAACGTATCAGGGACTATGTCCATCAGAGTCTAATTTTTTTTGGAGTATGGATACTGAAAAGAGCTCAGCTTCTATGGCAAACTCACTTCTGTGGAACCCCTCATTTATCCATGTTGGATGAAAGACATGTAAACCCTTACTGTTTTTACCCATGCCGAAATGCGATTTATTTTTATTAAAATGAAACATTTCACCGTAAGGATCTCTCTCTCCCTTTACTAACAGGGGAATCTGAGATAATACGAAAGCCACAGAATTTTAATCAATAGTAGAATCCCAAACCAACCTCGACAACTTTCCTTCCAACTGGTTCCGTGCCACAGGCCTTGGCAACAGGACATCTGGCCAAGAGAAACCAGATAATTTCAAACAAACTGGAAGAATAGATGGTCCAGTTTTTAGGAAGGTAAAAAGAACAAACTCAGTAAGTCTGCCAGGACTTAAAGAGCTCAATGGGTTTGCTTTTCAAAATGGTTCCCTTAGTGAGAGAAAATACCTACTCGAAACATTTGTGGAAAAGCCTTCAAAGAACATTTCTAGAACAGTGGTTCTCAACTGGGTATTGGGTGAGAAGTTCTTGGGGAGTTTTGCCCAAGTGCAGCCTCTCCCTCAGGTCTCCTAAATCAGAGCCTCAAAGGATGGCAGGAGATGGGGATACCCAGCCCACACGCACCTACGAGACTCACCCAGAATGTGGGTGTTCTCCATTCGCAGAGATCGCCATTGCATGATCTCACATGACCTAACACTAAAAGCATGATCCGGTCCGATGGCCTGCTGACCTCATCAGATCACCCTGATGACTTGATTGCTTTCAGAAATCAAAGCCATCCATCTGCAAAAGATCCAAGATGAGACACGGCTTTGGAGGGAACCCCGACTTAGGGGTAGAACCCTCACCTGACACAGGACAGGCATTGCACCAACGCCTACTGAGCCCAATGCCATCTCACATCCACGAGGGAACCTGCCACACAGAGGCCCTCTGGAGAGCTCTGGCTTGCTGACTCCCGCCTTCAGTGCCTTTTCTTTCAGAAACAATGAACACCTAAACACAAACCCTCTGGTGCCATCCTGTCCCCCGCCTGTTGGTTCTGCAGATGGAACACCTGGCTTTCAAGGGCAGCCAAGCACTTCTACCCATAGGGACAGCAGGCAAAATGACAACCAGGAGAGGGGCTGTTAAACTCAAGGAACTTATAGATATTCATCTTCAACTTCTACCTTACTTTAGTTTTCTTCTGTGAGGTGCCTGCCACCCTACTTCCCTTTCAAGGCTCTAAGCTTAACACTGCCCAGCCTACCAGGTCACCTTCCTCCAACAGCACCACGCCCCTGGCCCACTCCCCTCCCACCAAACAAATGTGTACACACACGCACGCGTATCCACACGGGATTTGGAAAGCCGGGTGAGGACGGCTGGGGACTCTAGCCAGCTGGGCCACTCTGCCAACCATGTATGTGAATGGAACACAGCATACTTACACGCTACTGTCCGTCATGGACATGGAGTCATCGGTCAGTGCATCGCTGGATATCTCGCTGTCATTGGCACTGGTGGCTGGTGCAAAGACGTAGCCAGAACCTACGTGGTATGGGTGAACAGGATCGCTCCTCTTGAAGGACCTGCAGGAAAAGGACAGCAGCGGTGCATCATGGCTTCTCACCAGAAGCCCAGGTAGCCAAGTGCACAGTCCCGCCATCTGTTCAACGCTAACCTGCCGCCTGGGGCCACGTGCTCATCTGGGCAGAAAGCAGGGGCCACAAAAGGGGCCTGCTGAGCTGAGCCCTAAATCGGCCTGGGGAGAAAGCATGCCGGGGTCCTCTGCCCCCAAAGTCAGGTCTGCCAGGGGACACAAAACCCCAGGGGAGCCTACAGAGGAAGGAAAGGGCTCTGCTCTAGGAGGGGAGGCTATGGAATGGAAGAGGGGAGTAACGCAGTGGAGGTGAAGTGTCTCCCCCAGCCTGTCCCCTCTCCACGCCTGCACCCAAAGATGACAATTTCAGGGCCCCAAGGTATCTTCAGCTTCCACGATAGCTGTTGGCGTAGTTCTGAGATGCAAACAACTGGAGGTCTGGCATAGCCTTGTCCTGTCAACCCTGGGCCCCGTGTCTCAGTGGCCTCTGCCTCCCCATTTCACCCTCTTCATCTCCTCCCAGAACAACCAGTGTGCCTGTCCCCTGCTGGGGTGCGCATTCCTCTTGTGTCACCTTAAGTGGGGGTGAGGGGGAGAAGGAGGAAGGCGCCTGCAGGAAGGGGCCTGGGAAGCCTGGTGGGGCAGGACGCCTGTTTACAAAGACCCAGCATACTCCACTGCGCCCACCAAGTCCTACCAACAGCAAAGAAACCCTCTGGAGGAGGAGGGACTGGCTCAGAAAAGAGGACCTCCTCTATCAGGCCACTGCAGGCGACCTGTAAAGATAACATTGGGGTTGGTAGATGAAAGGGAGTCATGAAAGGTCAAAGCAGTCTCCTGCACTGCTCACCGAGTTCCTGTCCCCTACTTTATGTTCAGCACCGCAGTGGACTCTGGGTGCACCCAGCCCCGGGCTCTGGTCTCCTGGCACCCACGGCCTGGTAGGGAGGGGCATGTCACCATAATGTGGGAACAGGGGACGCCACGAGGGGCACACCTTTCTACACATCATCTCACTTAATCCTCAGTCACCTGAGGGGGGACGAGCCCTGTGCCCATTTTACAGGTGTGCCCTTGGTGGTCCTGGCCTGGACCACCGCACTGGCACTAGTGGGTGTAGGGCTGATCTGTCTGGCTGTATCTCAACCCCTCTTTCTGCCTCGTAATACAATGACTAGCCTCAACATCTGTTAAGTCCTAGAGTTAAGAGGCAGGATGAGTGACCCAGCGGAGGTAAGCCCGGTATAGCTAATGATGGAGAAAATGTATCTAGCTGGGTGGCTGGGGACGGCTCCTGGGGACAGGTGGGAGCAAGGTGAACCTTGATGGGTGAGCGGAAACTCAAGGAGATGCCACCCAGGACCAGGGAAGGGAAAAGCAGTGAAAAGTCTTTCCCGGTCTGGGGTCAAGTTAGTTGGGTCAGGAAGGGGCAGAGAAAGGAAGGGTCCTGAGGTTTTCCTAGCAGCACAGAGGGCGTGCCACTGGGTTGGACTGGACGGAGGGGTGGGCGTGGACAGGGAGTTCTTGCCACAATTGGGTGTGAGAGCCGCGACAGGGGTAGGGAGTGGGCAGCAGTTGTGGGATGAACTGAATGGGATGGAAAAGAAGGTGGGAGAGCTGGTCCCTGTTTTTAAGGAGCTTGTGCTCTTGTAGCTGGGGTGACAAAACAAACATGGAAAGTTACATTCAGTCATAACATTTTAGAGTCAGAATGAATCGTAGAAATGATCTAAGCCAACCCTCTCAGTTCAGAAATGTTAATGAAAACCAAGAGCTACCACTGACCGAAAACTTAGTATGGGCGGAGTCTTGTTTTTGTCACTGCTGTACAGAGCATACAGCAGGTGCTCAATAAATGTCTGTTGCCCAGTCATCCTTCATCATCACAACCACCCAACTTAGTATGGGCGGAGTCTTGTTTTTGTCACTGCTGTACAGAGCATACAGCAGGTGCTCAATAAATGTCTGTTGCCCAGTCATCCTTCATCATCACAACCACCCAAGGAGGTACGGAGCCCCAGGTGGGGGACAGGAGCCTTGGGGGAGGCCACCAGGCTGCAGACTCAGCCACACAGAACCCACGTCTGGACTCCTAAGGAGCTTGGTTGGCAGGGACCTTGATTCTGTTCTACTGAGCTAGACTGGGACATAGAGTCAGCACTTTGAAGTGTTATGCAGGTGTGGAACTGACTGGAAAGTGCAAACGAGAAACATCATACTTGAACCTATCAAACGCCTTGGACTGAGTGAACTTGAACCGTCACTTGGACTCTCTGTCCCTGTTCTCATATCTGTAAAGGGTGAGAAGTTCTCACCACCTCCCAGGATGTTTTTTTATGACAACTAAATGAGGATGGTAAGTTCTTCCGTCCACATGTCCTCAATCTGGGATTCTCGGACACCAGGGCTAGACAGGAGTGACAGCCAAGGAAAGGCAGTTGGTTTTACTGGAGAAGAGAGGGATGAGGGGATGGTTGAGTAAAAACACTCTTCTAGTAGATAAGAGAACTCAAAAAGAGGAGGATGGTTCTGTTTGGCAACAGCACTAAAGGCAGGACAAGAGGAAATGGCCTAAGTCAGGAAGAGGAATACACTTCTTAATGGTCCAAGTGGAACCATGGAGGGATGGGCACAGGTTATGGAATCGCCCAAGTCTTTAAAATAGCCCAAAGTCCCCAGCGATCTGGTGTGTTTGGATGGGGCTACTGCTCAAAGCAAGATGGACAGGATAACTACTTCAGGGTCCCTTCCTATCTTCAGGAACACAATAAGTAAGTTAGTTCTGGACGCCCTTGATAGGGAACAGAAATCAAGAGGTCAAGAGCTGGTGCAGGCTTAGCTTCCAGCCAGCTGGGTGAGCACAGGCAAGCCACAGTCTCTATGGATGGGAGGTAAGGGGTCGGGGGCGGAGAGGAGGCGTGGAGGGTGGGGTGGTATCCACCTAAAACACACGGCAATCTGTAAGAAGTTCTCACAACCTCTGAAAGGCCCCACAAGAGCATTGTAATTTGGGGGAATCACCGTTTAATACTCCAAAAAACCAACCACCAACAAAAACAGAGAGCTCCTATCGTGCTTCTTCCTTCTGTGGCATTTATCATGACTTATAATTCCATAGCATTGGTGTGTTTACATGCTGAATGGCCATCTGGGCAGCTAGACTGTAAGCTTCATGAGGGCAAGGGCCAGATCTGTCCACTTCATGTATGTCTCCCCGGTGCCAAACATGGTTGGTGGCCTGGGGCAGAAGATCAACACTTTTTTGAACCTCCTTAAAAGACCTGGGACCATCAAATGGGTTGCTAAAAAGTTATTTTGTGTGTCTAAGAGGCATAGTACAAGATCAAAACAGCCTTAAATAGCATCCACACACTCTTTCCATGCCTTCAGTGTTGCTATCTTTGTGGTATTAACACATCAACAATGTCCCAAATGTAAGGGTTAGAATTCAACCTCTACGGGGAGAAAATGACTCAAGAGGCATTCCTCCTGCCCCAACCAAAAAGACACCTAACTCGAATCCCATGTGTGCTAACAGCTTTGCACTCCTCGAACACATGGATCCCAAAATAAACTCGTCTCCCTCCGCTTCCAAAATAGAGGGCTACTGTGTGACCAGTCATTAAAAAAGGAATATACTGCTCTCAGCTCAGTTGACTGCAATAGACTATTTGGATTTTCCTACAAACATAACAGGAGGAGGCAGAGGAAGGAGGCAGGGTAGTGAGGAGGGACAGGACCTCAATTTTTAAGAAGCCCAAACTTTGTCAAAAAAATCACTACATAATTTTAAAAAACTGGATTAGAGCTGGTTTCTTGTGATTACTTTAAAAAAAACAAAACAAAACAAAAAAAAACAAAAAACGGAAAGAAACTCGACCATGCTACAGTAATTGTACCCAGATGCTTTGATTATTTCTTCAGGACTTGTGCTCCCCGTGCTGGAAGGATTTTAAATTCTGAGGGAGCATGGAGGCCCATGGTACAGATTTTGTACCGGGCATACTGTTCGCAACTTCAATATGCAAAGGACTTTCAGCTGTCAGGTAGCAGAGGCTCCTGGGAGCTTAAGGGAAGGGAAATGTTTGCTGCTCTGTCCCCCACCCCACCCCCACCTATTTTATCTCTTATCTTGATGAGATGCTGTGGCCCCCGCCCCCTCCCCAGGCACCAGGGCAAAGCTACCCTCCGGAGAATACAACAGAACTGACCTTTGGGGCCTCCTTCTGGGTCGCCTCTCAAAACAATGCAGCTTAAAGAGCATGTTTCGGGATTTCCAAAAGCCCTCTGACAATGTGCTCACAAAGTCACTGCCCAAAGGCAACACTCTCTTCCAACAAGCATTTTCTAAGGTATCCTGGGGGCACTCGGACAACATCGGGGAACTAGGCCTTGAGAAAACAGGAGAACTTTTCCAAGTGTCTCTTAGCAAACTGCCTTCACCCGAGCCTCCATCCTCTAATTGTGGCCTGTTGCTTCCAGCATATCTTTCCTATGGCATCATTTTCTTTGATAATTGAAGCCAAGCGTGATTCCAATGGCTTCGCACAAAAATGGGCCTCATCAGCGAGTTCCTTCAGAGAACAGGAGGCGCTTGGAGCCAGCAGAGGGCCATCTGCTGGGCCTGGCTGATTTTAAGTGAGGCCAGCGCAGAGGGTCCCAAGGAGAGACAGATGAGACCCGCCTTGGGCAGGGACACACAGGGAAGGGCCAGTGCAGAAAGGGAGGGACACAGGGAGCGCTCTGTGTGCCCAACACTCTTCTCCTTCCCAAAATAAATGCTGGGCTCAGCTCCTAACCCCACAGCCCCCTTCACACACACCTAGCCACTCTGTGTGTGTGTTTGTGTGCTGGGGTTTTTACATGTGCCTCTTCCAACAGGTCACTCTTGCTCTTGGTTATTTATAGAGACCATCAAAAGCCCAGGCCTCCCACTCAACCACTCGCAAACCAGAGTCCTTCCCTCTGAGGATAATTCCTGCTCTTCCGTTCCAACTATTTATATTAAACCTGACACCAAATCAGTAAGGACACAAACAAGTCATTAAAAATGAGGCTCCTTTGAGGGCCCAGGGTAAACACAGGGCTTGGAAGACTAGCCAACGCTCTGGGCATCCAGCTGCCAAGACTGCTCCTCGACAGCTGATGAAGAGAGACCCTCGGCAGGACTCATGTCTTCTGTTTCATTAATTTTACTAACTTACTAAGCCGGTCCCATATGCTAGGTACCTTGCTTGATGACTGTATTGGGAGGGAGACACTTAAAGCGTTAGATAGGATCTGTACATCCCAGGAACTCGCCGGAAAGACAGACTTAAGTCCAACAAGTAGAGAAAGCTGAGACAAGGGAAGGGTGAATCCTCTATAACTTTATAATGAATATGGGCTAGAACCCAAGAATCACTGTTTGAAAGTGGACTTCTAACCTGGTTGCCCTTTTCACACACCCCATTGTTATCAGCATTAAATTATACTAATTATAACGCTTTACATCAGTTCAAAACACTTCCCTTTGCAAAGGGCTCTCGTGTTTATTATTTTGATCCTAATAGCAACCTATGACATAAACGGAAGCAATTACTCATTTTACAGATGGCACATGGGGTTCAGACAGGCTTGAGCCCAGGTATACGAGGTGGACAAGGCTGGGACCCAGACCTTTGAGTAATTAGGGACACCTCTCAATACACCGTCCTGCACTTGAGTATATTGCGTGTTAACATGAAATTTGGATATGGCTTAAATTCTTTTTGACAATGCCCAGCTACATACCTGGGTTTCACGAAGTCCAGGTGAAATATTTCATTTCAACCCAACGGTGGAAGAAAGCACACAAGAATACAGTATGGAAACTCTAGAGGCTGATGAAAAGGTGCCACTTATGTTACCAGCCATGCCCACAGTTCACAACCAACAAGGCAATTACTAGAAACACAAAGGATCTTTGGCCCTGGCCTCCGGGATCAAGAAGCTTCACAAGAGTAATCTCCCAAAAATGTCATCCTAGTCCTAGCCCAGATGAGGGGGTAGGGGCACTCCGCGGTTGGGTCTCTACTGCCCACCCACGAAGGGGAGGAGTCAGAGCAGGGTCCTGCCTTGCAGTGCCTTCTTACTGATGACATCCAAAGCCACACGTGGCGCTATTTACAAAGGTGACACTCTGAATCCTGACACTGGGAGACACAGAAGCCCCACTGTTAGCGGGCCCCTGGAGAAGCGGCCTTACCACAGGCCTTAAGTCGTCTCAGCTACCGCTACCGAACGGGAGAGCATTGAGGCCAGCAGAGGTTTACCCAAAGGTTCACATCATGGAACGGGGCAGTAGCAGCAGGTTCCCAGGGACGGCCCAGCCACAGAGGCCAGACCCAGTATCTTCCCAAATAACCTGAAACTATAACCTTAAAGAGGCTGAAACAACTCTTTCAGGTGATGCTTCCCTGCAAAAGCCAATGGCTTCCACTTTGGTGGAGACTAGATGTCTGTGACTTCCGAGGCTATAAGAGCACCCCCTTGTGGTTGGAGAACAAGAGTCAACTGTCTCCGCCACCCCTAAATCACTGCTCCTAAGCGCAGTCCGACCTGGCTGCCCTGCCCTTCCTGCTGCTGCTGCTGCCAGACACAGGAGGATATCCCCTTCAGAGAGGGGACACTCTCCAGAGACAGCCCGGGTCCCTAACACATGGAGAAATACACAAGGGCTAGCAAGTGTATAAGCCATCAGATAGCAGCCAGGGTCCCACCCCCCTTTTCTTACATGCCATCAGAAACAGCCTAGAATTAAGAGGCTCATTCTCTTTCCGAACACTCAGAAGGGGAGAGAGGGAGAGAAAAGAGAAAAACTAATTCTCACAGGAGGTCTGAAGTTGCCTCCAAAGGTCAAGAATCTTAAGACTTGGCCATTCTGTAAAGGACTGTTTGTCTTTGAAGCTTCAAAAAGAGAAAGTACTCCAGGGCCCCAAGTCCTCGCTGGCCAAGACCTCTGCTCCATCAGCAAAAGCAACAACATAATCAACTGAGGCCTGTCTCTTGGGCTACAAGCATTGAAAACCTAGATTAATATACTAGTAGATCCAAAGCTGAGGGTCCTTCATTAGGAAAAGTCACAGGGCCTTCCCTAGTAAGGAGGGTTTCTTGCTGGGTCAATACCTAATCGTACAAGAGACCCACCAGCTCAGCTGTTAAGCCAATTGCTTGCTCTTATCTTTATATAACAGTTCAAAAGATCCCACTTACCCCCACATCCAATGGGTACACACATTATTTCCTGTGTCTCCACCACAACCCAGCTGCCTCCCTCACCACATTAATTCCACTCTCTACTGATTAGTGGTGAATGACCCCTTCCAAAACCGGTGCTTAGGGTATTTGGTGATTCAGCGACCAGAAGCTGCTGTCCTCTCTTTCTCTCTCTCAACCCTAAGACTGGCCCAGGATACTAAGGAACCCTCATTAATGAATACTGCTTGCCAGCGTGTGAATGTAGCGCTGGAAGACTGCAGGCATCTAGCTGTGTGTACATCACTTTTCTCCCCTATAAACAACAGAAAGAAAGATCAAAGGGTTCATGGCCAGCCGTCCTGGCTCTCCACAGACCTTTTTGCAGCCTCTGCAGCACATCCATGCAACCATCCACACTGCTTAACTCAAAACATCTGCAGAGTCCTTATCGCCCACGACCCAACCCACCACCCCCCTCTGCCAGTCTCACCTGTACCCATTTTCAGCCGTTTCCGTGGACCTCACATTTGCTGTAGCCCTCAGAGTTTTGCTGGACAAGCCAACCACAGTGGGTGAAAGTTTGCACTTGAAGTCAGCACAAGTCCACTCCTCTTCTTCATTCAAGGTGGGGAGATAGCCACACACGACCTTTAGGCTGCCCAGTCCCCCGTTACTCATGTACGCCGTGTTTTCTCCCCCACTCCTCACATATTCGAGGTATATATCAGAAGTCAAAAACATCTGGTAGGCATTTTCCTCCATCACCGACTGGATCTCGGTCTGCGCCTGGTCAAACATGATGGAATCAATCTGTTGCTTCTTGATGCCATCTCGTATGTAGGTCTTGGTGGCAGGTTTCAGCTGCTTGGAGACGATGCTGTTGTTCTCGATGTACCTTTTGTAGATGGCTTTGGCTACTCGCAAAGTTTTGGTATCCTTCAGGTTCATCTGCCTGAATCCATTGCAGGCGAACCAGAAATCTAAGGTATCCACGCATTTCTCCCTCTCCAGGAAAGTCCGGAAGAGATAAGCACCATCTTGATCGCCCAACAAGGAGTGCAACGACTTGGTCCACCTGGTCAGAGGGGAATCCGGGGATGCGCGCCCCTCAGGCTCCCCCAGCCCATCCTCATTCCGCCTGGCGTTGGAGGAGACAGGCGTGGGTTTGGTGACCTGGCCCTTTCCCAGCCCAGGCTGGCACGGTGGGGTCTCCCCTTCTTCCCCTGGAACCGGGGGTCGGGGGGCATCTTCGCGGAAGCTGCTGCTGGGGTCTGGCAGGCGAGTCACCAACACAGCGCTACTCATGGTGAGAGAGCTCTTCTCACTGAGTTTGGGGATTTTTTTTTTTTTCTTCTTCCAGTTCCTCTCAGCAACCAGCGTGGTCTCTCTTTCTCTCTCAAGTCAGCAGGGGCTCATCTGAGCCTCCTTTCTAGAAAGAAAAGGAAGGGGGGAGGTAGGGAGAGAAAAGGGTATTGATCTAATCAAAACCAGATCTACCCAACATCAAAGCAAGAAAGTAAACAGGCTTTTCAACTCCTCAAATTCAAATCAAGCAACCCAGCTATCTGCGAGGTGCTCATCTAAGGTATCAGACGCTGCTTTTTCAAAGGCGAAATCTGAGCTCCCCGCACACTTGGGGGGTGGGGGGTGGGTGGGGAAGGGAGGACAAGATAATTTCCACATTGCCAGAGATGTAGCATGCATTGCCTAAGAGGTCTTGAGGGCGGTGTTCCTTTTANGTGGGTGGGGAAGGGGCGGGGAAGGTGAGATGGGAACCGGAGGGTGGGTGGTGGGGGCGGAGAGGTATTCAAGGTGTGAGACATAACCTTCCAAAAACCCACCGGCCGAGGTGCACGCAGGGCAGCGGGGCCCGCGCCTACCCGTTCCCCACCCCTCGCCCCCTTTCCGCGATAGCATCAACTCCAAAGACGCGCACTCCGAGCCGCAGGGCTGTGTGCAGGTGAAACCAATTTCGGTAAATTTCCCCGCTCTGCTCTCGGCACAGATAACTCGAGCTCCAAACGTGCCCTTCCCCGGCATCTGGTTCCCATTCCCCCACCCACCCCTTCCCTCTCGCTCCCCCCTTCCCACTCCTTAAAAATTCAGATCTTCGACCGAGAAAGAAGCCCGCCCAGTACGGGGTGGAATGGGCTCCCGGACTCCCGGTTGGAAAACGCTGACTCCCCCCTCACCAGCTGTAAATGTTCCTGCGCCCCCGCCTCCCGTCAAGAACACGACCGACTCCGTCTACACCCCAGTCTTCCTCGCTGCCCCAAACCAGAAATCAACTCACTCAAACCAGACTTTGATCTTCAAACTTTGCGAGAGCAGAGAATCCCCAAGATGGGCCACCCCCGTCCTCCCCGCCCCCCAACCCACCTCCCGGAGCCGTGAACCCTACAAAACCAGATCAGAAACCGTCTCACGCTATCACTGCCTGTGCCAAGAATCCCAAACTCTACTGATTCAAGCCTGTCTCCTTTTTCCAAAAGAAAAGTCTTATCTAACCAATAAACAAGCTTCTTACCCCAGCACGGGAAGGATCAAACTAAGGAGGGCAGGGGTGGGCCGGGGGGATAGGGCGCGACCCCGAACGAGGGGCTAGGGCTCCGGGTCCAGGGTGGGTGCGCGCGGCCCCCGCCCCAGGCCTAAGGCCGCCGGGCTGGGCAACTCAGCCGGCAGAGCGACGGGGCCGCCGGTAGCGCTGCGCTACCCCGGCAGAGGGGAGGTGGGGCGGCCCCGTTACCTGGAAGACGAAGGCGGCCCCAGGCCCGGCTCTCATCTCCGCCGAGCGCCCCCGGCCCGCCCCCCCGGTCCAAATCCAACGGCACGCATCCAGAGCCGCAGGGCGCGGGGCCGGAGCTCCGGGAGGCGCTCGCAGCACCCCGGGCGCGGGTGGGTTCCCCGCGCCGCGGCTCGCAAAGACGCCCGCAGGAAAAGCACGGAAAGCAGCAGCCTAGTCCAGAAATGGCGACGCGCGGAGTCTCGGCTCTCCGCAAAAGGGGCCGGGGGCGCGAGGCCCGGGCGGGGAGGAGGGACGCGGAGAACGCGGGCGCCCCGGGCTCGGGCCGCTCCAGATCGCAGACTGAGCCTCGGCCAGCATTCAGGGCCCCTAAGCGCGGACCAGTGGCTGGGAGGGGAGGAGGGGAGGGGGAGGAG